CAGGGGACTAGGGGGAGGGAGAGGAGAATGGGAAGAGACTTCTGATGGACAGGAGATTTCTTTTGGGTGTTGAAAATGTTCTGGAATTAGTGGTGGCGGTTGTATATACTAAATATACCGAATACGAGGGCTGTCCGGAAAGTTTCCAGCCATTGTTAACATAACAAGAATGGTTCCATGGCTGGATACTTTCCGGACAGCCCTCTTATACTAAAGTGTGAATATACTAAAACTCACTTAGTTCTATACTTTAAAATGGTGAATTTTATTGTATGTGAGTTATGTCTCAATAATAAATATAATGTGTATTTATCCTTAAAAAATCACGTAGTACAAAACTATTTAAAAATAAATACTGTGTCTCTCCCTCCCTTAGTGCCTTTCATTGTTTATGCTGGGTCCTGGGCCTGTAAAACAGACAAACAGGGTCCTTGCCTTGGGAGCACTTAGGTGGGGGAGACAGGTATTAATCAGTAATCAGAGGTAGGTCATTATACACTGACGAGCGTTATGGAGGGAAAGTGCAAGGGGGCTCAGAGAGTAAATAATGGGTCCTAACTTAGCTTGGGGTTGAAGAAGAGTGCCCCTGAGGGAGTGACCCTTAGGTGCGTATAGAGGTTTCTGGGGGGCTGGGGGGAGGCTGGCAGGGGAAAGAGCCTTCAAAGCACATTCCTAGGTGCTTCAAAGCACATCCCTGAGGTGGGAGGGTCAAAGAACTCCAAGGTGGGTGGTTGGGGCCCAGAACAAGGAGAGTGGGGAGAAGGGAAGAAGGCAAGGCCCAGAGATTGGCAGGGTTCCCTGCGAGTCCAGGCCTCTGGTCCTAGGAAAGATTTTGTTCTCATTTCTTGAGGAGCCATGGGGAGCCACCACACACTTCCAGTTCAGGAGTGACAGATGTCAGAAGCTTTGTTTGTGCCTTGCAGAGATTTCTCCGCGTGCTCAGTAGAGAGCAGATTGGAGGGATGACAGAGTGTTAGCAGCCCTGTCAAGAGATGGTGGTGGGGCCAGGCGTGGTGGCTCACGTCTGTAATCCTAGCACTCTGGGAGACCAAGGTGTGTGGATTGCTCGAGGTCAGGAGTTCGAAACCAGCCTGAGCAAGAGCGAGACCCCGTCTCTACTAAAAATAGAAATTAATTGGCCAACTAATATAAATAGAAAAAATTAGCTGGGCATGGTGGCACCTGCCTGTAGTCCCAGCTACTCGGGAGACTGAGGCAGTAGGATTGCTTGAGCCCAGGAGTTTGAGGTTGCTGTGAGCTAGGCTGACACCACGGCACTCACTCTAGCCTGGGCAACAAAGCGAGACTCTGTCTCCAAAAAAAAAAAAAGAGATGGTGGTGGCTTTAACCAAAGGGGTGGAGGTGGCAGGAAGTGGACAAATCAGAGACATTTGGGACATAAAATAGATAGGCCTTAACCTGACCAAGCAGGTCAAGGGTGGCCTCTGGGAACTGGAGGTACACGAATATATCCCTCATACGTTTTCTGGGTGTGGGTGCAGATGTCCCCAGCAATTGCATTTTGACAAGACACAAACAAGGCCTGGTCCACATATTGCTCTGGAGTCCCCCCTTCTTCAGAGGGAATTCCGTATCAGTACATACATACCTCCGTTCTTTTTAATGATCCCACCATACTCCACGGCTCGGTTCACCATCTTTTTTTTTTAACCAGCTCCCATACTGGACATTTAGGCTGTTTCCAGTGTTTGACCGTTACAAACAATGGTGTGGTGAGTACCCTTGCCTGTGGTGGGTGATTCTGTGTTGTAAAGCTAGGAGTGGAATTGCTGGGTTAAAAGCAGTGCACACGCACAGATTTGGTAGGTGTTGTCAAGGCGTCCTCCAAGAAGCTTGCGCAAGTTCACATTCTCTCAAATAGCATATGTAAGCGCTTATGTCTTTACCCCTCCCCAACTGTGGCATTGTCAGAAATGGCATCTGTTGGGTTTTTTCCTTCATGCTTTATCTTTTAAGATTCAGATATTACATTGATCTGCCATAATTTTTGTGGTAAAATATACATAATATAAAATTTACCATTTTAACCATTTTGAAGTGTATAGTTCAGTGGCTTTAAATACATTCACATTGTTCTGCAAACATCACCACCATCCATCTCCAGAACTCTTCCACCCTCCCAAACTGAAAGCCTGTCCCCACCAAACACTAACTCCCTATTCCCTACCCCCAGCTCCTGGAACCCACCATTCTACTTTCAGTCTTTATGGATTTGACTACTCTAGGGACCTCATATAAATGGAATCATGCATACTGTATGAATTTTGTGTCTGGCTTATTTCACATAGCATAATATCCTCAAGGTTCATCCATATTATAGCATGTGTCCGAAATTCCTTTTTAAGGCTTGAATAATATTCCACTATTCTCTATATATCTCATTTATCCATTTATCAGTTGATAGATACATGGATTGCTTCTACCTTTTGTTATTATGAATAATGCTGCTGTGTATATGGCTGTGCAAATATATGTTTGAGTCCTTGCTTTCATTTCTTTGCATATGTACCCAGAAATTTAATTGCTGGATCATATGGTAATTCTTTGTTTACATTTTCGAGGAACCACCATATTGTTTTCCACAGTTGCCACACCAGTTTACATTTCTCCCAGCAATGCTCAAGGAATTGCAGTTTCCCTGCATCCTTGCCAACACTTGTTGTTTTCTGTCTTTTTAATAACAGCCATCCTAATCCGTATGTAGGGGTATCTCATTGTGGTTTTGATTTGCATTTCTTTGGTGATCAGTGGCGTGGAACATCTCTTCATGTGCTTTTTGGTCATTTGTGTATCTTCTTTGGAGAAATGGCCATTCAAGTCCTTTGCTCATTTTTTAATCAGGTTGTTTGCTTTTTTGTTGTTGACTTGTCAGAGTGATTTTCAAATATTTCCTCCCATTCTGTGGATTGTCTCTACTCTATTAATAGTGTCCTTTGATGCATAAAAGTTTTAGATTTTGATGGCATGTTATTTTAATTTGTAATTTTCTTTGGTGTGTTTTCCCCCTCACTTTGTTTTAATTAAAGAAAGTAATATATACACATGGATAAAAAAATTAATAATACAGGAATATATAAAAGTAATTGAGGCCTGCGCAGGCCCCAGCCTATCTGTGGTTTGGGGCTGCTATCTGCCTCATAAAGCAAAGTGGAGGGTTTGTCTTCTAAGAAGATAAAATCATTTTCTCTTCTGAAGAAACCTCCTACATAGTTGGCTTTGCCATTTGCCAGGAACAGGAGGCAGAGACTGAGACTGCATGAGTCTAGGTTTTCAGCTGAGGTTGAGAGAGGTTACCTCCAGAACTGTCACTGTGAACTCAGCGTGGGCTTCATGACAGTCACAGAAGTGAATTCCTTAATAATAATAAACATATGGCCGGGCATGATGGCTCACGCCTGTAATCCTAGCACTCTGGGAGACCAAGGCAGGAGGATCTCTTGAGCTCAGTTCGAGACCAGCCTGAGCAAGAGGGAGACCCACCCCATCTCCACAAAAAATAGAAAAAAAAATACTTAGCTAGGCTTGGTGGTGTGCGCCTGTAGTGCCAGCTAGTTGAGAGGCTGAGGCAGGAGGATCCTTGAGTCCAGGAGTTGGGAGATTGCAGTGAGCTATGAGGATGCTACTTTGCTCTAGCCTGGGTGACAGAGTGAGACTCTGTCTCAAAATAACCCAAAAAACTAAAAAAAAAAGTATAATCTTCCCCCCAAAAAGTAAACATCTTCTTCTTCTCTCACTATAAATTATTGACATTTCTCTCTCAAAGTAATCACTCTTAACAGGATTTTTTTGGTATATTTTTCTAGAAAACTTTGCACAAAGCAGCACATAGGTCATTTTAGAAAATATAGTCAAATGGGTTCATACAGTGCTGGTTTTGTTTTTATAAACACTTCATTCACTGTACTATATTTGAAAAATATCTTATTGATGGACATTTTGGGTGTTTTCAGTTTTTGAATTTATAATAATTCAAAATAATTCAATAATTATTATTCAATAATTTTTATAAACAGTCCTAGAGTGAACATTTCATTTATATGTCATCTTGTACATTTGTAAATGTATCTTTTTTTTTTTTTTTGGAGACGGAGTCTCACTCTGTCACTCTGGGTAGCGTGTAGTGGCATCCTCATTGCTGACTGCAACCTCTAACTCCTGAGCTCAAGTGATCCTCCTGCCTCAGGCTCCCGAGTTGCTGGGACTACAGGGGTCGTGGCCACATACCCTGGTTATTCTTTTCTTTCTTTTGATAACTGGGTGTCTTTGTCTCTGTCAGGCTTGTCTGTAAGAACTCTTGACTCCTACTTGATCCTGCCGACCTTGCTCCCAAATGTTAGGATACAGGCGTGGCCACTAAGCCGCCTTGGTAAGAATTTATCGTTATGCGCAGCTGTTTTTCTTTTGAGACAGGAGTCCTCACTTTTTGGCCCAGCTCTAGAAGTGATGGCCATGCAGCGAGGCCTGCTTCACCGCAACCAACTTCCTGTGGTGCTATCACAGGGCCCGCTGCTCAGCCCCCGAGTCAGCCTGGGATAAGGCATGCGACGCATGCCCTGGCTAATTTTTCTCTATTTTAGTTGGCCAATCAATTTCTTTTCCTACCTTTTGTAGAGACAAGGTCTTGCTCTTGCTCAAGCTGGTTTTGAACTCCTGACTCGAGTATCTTGGGCCGCCTCGGCCCTCCCAGAGTGTCAGGATTACATGGCATGAGCCACCTCGCCCGGCCTTATATGCGCTTTTAAGGATATTTGTGGGGAGAAGGGGGGACATGTTTTTCTCTAGGAAGATGATGCCAGTTTGCAACATCACTGGATGCCCCAAGAGTGCCACATCCCCCACACTCTTGCCAACCGCAGTATTATGCTTAAAATAAAATCTTTTCAATTGATTGGGGTGGAAATGTATCTCAGGCATTTAGCCTGAATTCTTTGTATAACAGAGATTGAGTTTGAAATTGATGTGTTTACTTACCTTTTCAGAAGTCCCTGAATGTGGTGGTGATCCGTAGGGGAGAGCAACACCAGCTTAGACTTGTTCCAACACGCCTGGAATGGGAAGAGACTTACTGGGGTAAAGATCTGTGTTCATCCTTCACCTGGAGCATCTGGTGTAGTGTGTTAACGGATGTGAGGCTGGTCCGCGGCGCGGAATGCTGGCCACATGTGGGAATTCCGTGTGTAGATGGTGGTACGGTATCTGCTGGTAGAGGAGTAGAGCTGGGCGTCTAGGGTGGAACCCGGTGTCTCTCCTAAGAGCCTCTCTGGTACTTGTCCTGGCATCTTGCTTAAAAGATGGTGACTAGAGCATGTACATACAAGCTGGGAAAGACTCACCTTCTGACCTTCCTGGATGGAGCTACCATATTTATGCCGTTCCTTTTCTTATTTTCTTCCAGCTGCAACATTATTCCTCTGCAGAGATGACTGTCCCTGGGAAACATTAACAGGAAAGCATCTTCCCTTGCCCTGGATGTGGGTCTAGTGGAGATTTCTTCATTCTCTCATTTCTCTGGAACATAAGGATCTGGAAGAGGCCGGAAGCCTGAACTTCTAGGTGTTGGAAACACTGGCCCACCATGTAATCTCTCTGGATTAAGGCATTGTTAAAAACTTGATTTGTGTTTAGCATCTTTTGCGAATTAGGCCCTGGCCCTAAATGGGAATTCTCTGGCTTGTAGGCACGTGGGCAGGAGTTATTCTGGCAGGTGCTGATATGACTGTTCGTTTAGGATTTGGTTTTATTTTTTTCAAATAAACACAGTTTTACAGTGCTGATGTGACCAAGTTATCACCCCAACTGAATTTCTTATGAACCTCTCAGACAAAAGCTCAGACAGAATATCCTCATAGAAAGTTGGGTTAAACAAGCAAGCAACTGTGCTGAAGTCAAGATTTGACCAACTTCTTTCTTTGGACTGAAGCACTGCTGCTGTGGCTACAGAAATTGCTAAACAGTTCCACGCATCCTTAGCAGTTGGGCCTTTAGGGCCCAAGTAGCTCGCTTTGGAGAAAGAGGAAAGCCAGGAGGCTCCCAGGTAGCCCACCATGGTGTTGGCACCTTCTCAGTAACCCACCAGAGGGCAGCAAGCTTCTTTCATTTATTTCACTTCTGGCCTAAAAAGCACTGCAGATTAGCTTCTAATTTGACTTTTTATAATTGAACCTCCTGGCCACGCCCTGAGAGCAACACTATCTTATAAACTGCTAGGGTGTCCTAACATTGCTGATGGGGACTGGCAGTGTTTACAGATATGACCTCTTAAAAATGCTTATTCTTCTTTTATGTTTTCTCTCTCTCAAGATGTTGAAATGGGTCTCAGTGATTCCTACTGATGCTGTGTGTGCATTGCTTCATCTGTTCATAGTATCACAGTGTTTATCTCCCCAGTTCTTGCACACCACTTTCTGTTTTGGAGGAGGTCTGGCACCTTTTGCCGAGCAAGCCCTGTGTTCCTTGGGGTTGGATTTGCTCTGGTTAGGTGCAGATCCCAGCCTGCCCTAGTGGGAGTCAGTATTGGTGTGTGCTTCCAGCTATGGGTTCGTGTGCTCAACTCGAAAGCCTACCTGTGGAGTGTCTTCCCTCAAACTGTGTATTCCAGCCATACAGCCATGTGTGTTCCCCTCTCATAGCCGCGGACTTGCTGTGTTTACCAGTGTTTACTGTTTAAATCGCATGTTCTAATTCCAAGTGTTTTCCAATCTCTTTTTATGAGTCCCAGACTATAATAAACATAGCTTACACCATCCAGTTTATCCCTTTTTTAAATTTCGAGATGTATGCGTATTAATCAACTTCCCATCATTGAGGCTTGGTGCTGGGGATAGGGAGAATGGTTTGCATTCTTGTAAAATGATAGCAGCAAAGAGTGTTTTGCATGGGTGCCTCTGGCTGGTTTCCTTCAGGCTCCCTGTGAAAACCTCAGGATGGCCACCTGTTGCGGTCTTCTGAGGGATTCTATTAGCTGAGAGTCACTTTGAATGGGGAATGATCCTAATGGATTTAACCAAACTGGTTTTGCAGAAATGCTTTGCGATAAGAAGAGCAAGATAATGTAATCTATATAATATTTAATTCCAGCTAGCTAAAAATCTCTATACAGCATGTGGTGCCTTGGCGAGGGGGCAGGCAGGACAGATGTGTGTTGCATCTATGAGACCTGGAAATTTGGTTTGCTTTTGGACAAGATAATTTTTCAAAGAGTTGATACTTCTTCATTTAACCTTGCCAAGCCTTCGGAAAATCGCAATCGCCAGTATTGGCCGCTGTAGCTTCTGGGGGATGGCACCATGGGAACGTGGGCGATAGTTTGAGTGGAGGAAAGGATGAAAGGAAGACGAGGAAAGCCATTTTCCTCGCGCTGTGCCTCTGCTCCGGCGACCAGCAGGGGGCGCTCCGGCCACGCTCCCAGCCCCTTTCTGAGCACGTGACCCCAGTGCAGACCTGTAGCTTTACGGCCAGTCGCCCTGGTGGCGGCGGTTGCCATGGGGACGAGGCTTGCTGGCAACTGTAACTAGGGAGTTCGTGGAGGAGAAGGTAGAGGCAGCTGGAGGCTGGAGGTCGCTGTGAGGGGTCCAGGCGACGGGACGACTCCTGCCGTTTGGGCACGGGAGTAGGCGCTCTCTGTAAGTGCGGGGCAGAGGCCACGGCCCGGGCGGGAGTCCCCGGCCTGGTGGGGCTGGTGCCCCCTGAGGGGTGCACACTCCACTCGTGCCAGGCCGGGCCTGGGGCGGCCCCGGGAGACCTGAGCTGGAGGAAGAGGCCGCACACGGACTTTGTGCTCCCCACGGACCCACACACCTGCCACCGCTGCCCTAAAGCCCCTGCGGCTCGCCTGGGCCTTGAACCCGTCCCGTCACAATGCCCTGGCAAAGTTTGGGTCGGTCGGAAGAGGCTTGGGGGAACAGCCCTGGACTCGAATCCATAGCAGTCATTTTTCAGATGGAGGAACTAAGTGTCAGAGAGATCTGTTTCTTAACCAGCTGTGACATCTTGAATACGTCGCTTCACCTCAAACTCTTTCTTTATGTTTTTGCCAGAGATGGAGTTGAGGAACTGATACATTGAGCACTAAGAAAGAGAAATGAGGAAATAGAAATACCTTATTTACCCTGTACTCTTTGGGACTGTATTTTCAAGGAGTTGGGTTCTCTTATTCTAATGTTACTGAAAATTTGGGAGTTTTCTGTTTTGGGTCCAGCTTTTCAGGGATAAAGTGTCTATCCTTCTTGTTTTCCTAATTCATACTCTTTGTTCGATGTAAGGAATAAATGAGAGAATATGTCAGAAGGGCTATAAACTGTTAATTTCTCTGTGAATTAGGGTTGCTTCTATCTCCATAACTGTTGCTACCATTTTCAGACACTATGTGCTGGAACTGTGTTGAGTGTTTTACATATGTTATCTCACATTGGCAACAATCTTAGCATTTAGGATCATCATTTTATTTTGCCTGTGAGCAATGAAGACTCTGAGGGGTAAAATGACTTGCCCACGATCACAGAGCAAGTGAGTGGTAGAATGGGATTCAATGGTAGGATAAGCTGATGGCAAAGCCCATGCTTTTAATCACTAAGCTGTATTGTTTCTTCTCTTACTCCTGTGTTAGAATTGTTGCTAATGCCTGGGTTGTGCATTTTGCTGCTGTGGGAATATAAATCTGTTTAAAATGAGTTAGATGGCACTAAAGTTATTCCTAGAGAGATGAGAGGTCCTGGGATCAATATTTTTAAGATTTGGGCCAGGCTTTCCCACAAATATGATATTCTTTTTATTCCTGTGGGAAGGAACTGGAGCTGGTCTTGCACATTTTATCAATAGGTTAGTGCACCAGGAAATCAAAATGGGGCACAGAGGGGCCTGCTGATTGTTATGGTCAAAATTTCTCTAAAGGAAGCTCTACAGAGAAGAATGTCAGATGCAGAAGAACCCCCCCTAGAAGAAGCAGAAGAAAATGGAGAATCAGAAATGGAAGAAGACAATACCCCAAATTTTGAAGAAGCAGAAAATATACAACGGAAATCAAAAGAATATGACACATTAGCATGGATTGATTCTCAGGATGAGGAGGAGGGAGAGGAGATGAAGAGAAAGGAGAAGTGGGAGGAGGGAGGGGAAGAGGACGGAGGGAGAGAAGAGGGAAGAGGGAAGAGGAGGAGAAAAGAGTGGAAGAAGAGGGACAAGAAGGGGAGAGGAGAGAGGGAGAGGAGGAAGGGGAAGAGGAGGAAGAGGAAGAGGAGGAAGAGGAGGAGGAAGAAGAGAAGGGGAAGAGGGAAGGAACAGAAGGAGAGAAGGAGAGGGAGAGAAGAGAGGAGGAACAGAAGAGGAGAAGGAGGAGGGAGGAGGGGAAGAGAAGGAGGAAAAGGAGAGGGAGGAGGGAAGAGAAGCAGGGAGAGGAAGAGAGAAGAGGAGGAGGAAGAAGGGAAGGAGAGGAAGGAGAGGAGGAAAGAGAAGAGGAGAAGGGAGAGAGGAGGGAGGAGGGAAGAGAAGGGGCAGGGGAGGAGAGGGAGGAGGGGAAGAGGAGGAGGAACAGAAGGGGGAGGGGGAGAAGGAGAGGAGGAGGGAGAGAAGAGGGGAGAAGGAGAGGGAGCGGGAGAAGAGAGGGAGGAGGAAGGAGAGTGGAGGAGGGGAGAAGGAGAGGGAGGGTGGAAAGAAGGGCAGAGAGAGAGGGAGGGGGAAAGGGAGAAACAGAAGGGGGAGGAGGGGAAGAAAGGAGGAGGGGAGGAGAGAAGGGAAGAGGAGGAGACAGAAGGGACAGGGAAGAGGAGGAGGAACAGAAGGGGAGGGAGAGAAGAGAGAAAGAAGGGAGACGAAGGAGCAAGGAGTAGAAAAAAGGCTGGAGAAGCCCAGGAAGAAGAAGAGTCTTCAGGAGTACAGGAAGAAACCACAGTGGAATCCCAAGAAATTACCAAGTCCGAGATCAGTATGGAGAAACTTATTACCGGTTCCCAGTCAGCCATGTCAGGAACTTTCCCAGTAAGTAGTAATTATAATTCATTCATCCATTCATTCAGAATCATTAATTGAATGCTTAGTATAGTCCAGGCTAGGTGAATATAAAACCAAATAAGACACAGTCCATTCTTTAAAGGAGCTCTAAGGTGTGTAGGGAGGCAGACCCCTAACCAAGCATTATAAAACAATATGCTAAGTGCAGTGATTGAAAGATACACAGAAAATAAAACAGGGCTACTTAACCTAGTTTAGAGGATGGTCAGGGAAAACTTCCTGGAGGAGGTGTGTGCCACAGCTGACTTTAGGGCTGGTAGGGGTTAACTGAAGTGTGCTTTTCTTAGGACAGAGTCAATAAGATAATAGGTAGGCTTCCCACAGACTGCTCCCAGGGGGAGAACTCAGCTGTGGCCCAAGGATCAGTAACTCTCTGTGACTAGTCAGCCTTTTGGAGACCACCAGTGTCACTTAGAAGAATGATTTTGCTGTGTACTGTGCTACTATTAGCAGTAGGCCAAGAATAAACTTGAATACACCTTTATGTTTTAAATACAAAACATCCCAGCCTCATTTTTAAAGCATTCCATAATTCCAAGGTGAGGCTAACATTAAGACTGGCTGATTGGGAATAGAAAAGGAAAATATGTGGGGGGGATGTAGCGCCCACCTGTAATCTCCCTAGCTACTTAGGAGGCCGAGGCGGGAGGATTGCTAAAGCCCAGGAGTTTGAGGCCAGCCTGGGCAACACATTGAGACACTCTCTCTACCGAAAAAGAAAGAAAATTAACCAGGTGTGGTGGTGCACACCTGTAGTCCTAGGAGGCTGAGGCAGAAGGATCGCTTGAGCCCAGGAGTTTGGGGTTACAGTGAGCTATGACTGCACCACTGCACTACAGCCTGGGTAACAGGGAGATCCTGTCTCTGAAAAAATGTTTTTAAATTAAAAATTTTAAAAAATAAATGGGGGAATGTTGCATTGTCATCATAATCTCCTTTCATTTCTTTTTAAAGGAAACCCGTAGAGGTAGTGAGTCAAAGCATTCATTACAATCAGAGGGTTCCAAAACAAAAGAGCTTTCAAGAGTCCAGAGCTCACAACTTAGAATTCTTGATTTGGATGAAATCAGTTCTGAGAAACAAGAGGTTAGTTCCCTTGAAAGGCAGCCCTCAGGCGAGCTGGAGGAGGAAACGGTCAGCATGCCCCAGGATGAACTGGGACGAGGAGGAAGACACTTGGAACCAGAGAAGGGAAAAGAGGGCGGAGATGAAAAAGAGAAAGACGTCCCGTCCAAAGCAGGGATCTCCAAGGAGTCACTGGTGTCCACTACCTCAGAAGACATTTTGTTTCAAAAGGAGGAGGGCACGGAATATCCCTTGGTAAGTGTAGCCTGCTTTTTAATTTCCCCCAGTGCCTTGAGAGTATTGTAAAGTAGGGGAAGTTTATGTTTGCGTGGGGTAAAATACCACCAGAAAGATACTTTTAAACTAATAATAGACTCATGTCTTTTTAAGTTCAGTAAAGAGCTTTGTCTCAACCTGTGTGACTGAACATGAACTTGAACGCAGCTGCATCTGGGTTCAATAGTGTTGCTCAGCAGGCAGGAAATTCCAGACATAGTTTGCCTGTTGCATAGGGTGCTATTTCACTTGGGAGACTCAAAACTGACTGCTCTCCCGCACCCCTCCTCTTTTCCATCTCTTTTCCTCCTCTTTTCCTCTCCTTCTTCTTCCTCCCCACCCTCTCCTTTTCCTTCCCACCCCTTCTCCCCTCCTTTTTTTTCCTCTCTCTCTCACTGTAATACTCCTTCATCCCACCAATTCCTCGCCTTCCCCTTCTTGCCTCCACTCTTCTGCCTTGATATGTTTACATGCTCCAAAACCATCCATCCCAAGAGGTCAGAGCGAAAGGCATGGCAAGGGTGAAAGCCACCGTGAAAAGCCGCAGGCAGTCCAAAAGAGTCTGCCTTTGCTGCTGCTGAAAATATTCCAGGGAGGCACCATCTGCGAGGAATAAAAATATTATCATTTACCACGAGAAGGAAGAGGAGAGGTTTTTTTCCTTCTTCCTCCATCTGCTACTTTCTGAAAATTGTTTCCTAGGATTCGTCCTTTTTTAAAAAAAATTCTCTCCTGTAGATTCTTTGGAAGATTTGGAAGTGATTAAGTGTATATAAAGTACTTAACGTAGTCACTAACTCATAGTGAGCACTTGATAAGTGTTAACAACTGTGTGATGATGACGATGATGATGATGATGATGATGATGGAGGAAAGATGTCTAGTGGGAAATGCAGACAATTGAAAACCTTCTTTCTGCAGATTTGAACAGTGAAATTGTAGGTTCTCTCCTGTAGCTTGTAATTGCTCAGCTTGAGAGAAAGAATAATTGAGTTTTAGGGTCCATGAAGACCTTTGTCCTGTTAGCCAGCTAACAAGAAATCAAGTAATATTCCTGATGAGAACATGTAGCCTTGGTGTCATGGCCCCAGCTATCTGCATGTGACAAGAGCTACTCCCCAGTGTAGGGTCTTCTGTTAGCCTTGGTCTCACTGTAGAACGAAAACTTTTCTAGACTGTCTTCCTTTGCAGATTTTTTTTAGCTTTTTTTCCTTTTTAATTTATTTTTTTACAGACAAGGTCTTGTCATTAATACATTATCCAGGCTGGATCTGAACTTAAGCCATCCTTACACCTTAGCCTCCTGAAATTTCTTTAGCTTTTTGCCTATATTTTCTTTCTTCTTCTTTTTCCATTACTTTCCTTCTTTTCCTCCTTGATTATCTTTTCTTTTTGTTAAAAATATTCAGTGCTCTTTGTAAAAAATTCAGATAGCATATACATGTCTGAAGGCAAATATTCCTCTTCCTACACACACTCCCACCTCAGTCTCATTTGCCTGAGATAACTACTGTTACTACTCAGTCTAATTGTATATTTCCTGACTTTTTCGTGCATATACAAACACATTATCTGTGTGCTCATATGTGTATATGTGTTCACATTTAGGTTTTGTTTTGCATTGTCACCAATGAGATATTATGCATCTTTGCAAAATGTTTTTTTCACTTAATATGTCTTTGAAGGTTTCTTACATTAGTGCATGTATCTCCACGTCTTCTTTTTAATTTTTTTTTTTTTTTGAGACAGGGTCTTAGTCTATCACCCAGGCTAGATTGCAGTGGTGACATCATAGCTCACTGTAACCTCAAACTCCTGGGCTCAAATGATCTTCCTGCCTCAGCCTCATGAATAGCTAGGACTACAGGTGTGTACTACCATGCCTGGCTAATTTTTTCTGTTTTTAGTAGAGACAGAATCTTGTTCTTGCTCAGGCTGGTCTTGAACTCCTGGCCTCAAGAGATGGAGCCTCCTGCCTTGGCCTTCCAGAGTGGTAGGATTACAGGCCCCGCTTTTTAAATTTAACTATTCTCCTCTCAGTGGCCAATTTATGTTGCTTCTAGTTTCTTACTCTCACAAAAAATCCTACAGTGAATGTGCTCCTCCATCTTCCCTGTGCCTGCAGCATCTTTGGGGTCCCCTGTCTTAGTCCAAAGGCCTGTAGTAGCTCACAGTGCTCATGGTAAATAGGCCTAACTGTGGATCCTATCTCTGGCCAAGAAACAAGGTGTTTAGGAGCAGGAATCTCATGAGTATCAAATCTAGTGAAATCCACTTCTGACAATATAAATATAAATCCATTTTGTCTTCTAGGTTACCATGTTTTAGAAAAATATTGATGTAAGAGGTGGTTATGTCCATGATCATTTGTCGTGAATGTTAAAACTGGTGCAAAACATGATGATTAATACTATGTGATTTCAGTAGTTGTCAGCACTGCTTGAGGAAGGTATTTCTGTTACTACTGAGTGAAGTCAGCCTAGTTTTGACTTTGGAAGAGCTGTTGTAGCTGAAGACAGGAGTCTGCTTAGGATGTTTAGGAATGTTTTCTTTTTATAACTAATTTGTTACATGGCAAAATTAATTTCCAGGATGAATAATATGATCCTTTTAGGATTAGCAAGTTTCCAAAAGAACAATTTCATTTGAATAAATCAGCTTTTAAGAACTAGCCAAATATTAAATAATTCTGTTCCTAGAAGTTGCAGCTTGAGACAATTATGATTCCATAATTCTACCACTCACACCCACACAATAAGAGATCTAAATATAAATATAAATTATAGGGAATGAGCAGATGGAGACAGGAGAGGATGGGGAATGAAAAATGTAAGAGAGAGAAATCGGCCACGTTACCTGCTGTGTCTGTCTTGGGGAGAAATAATTTAACTTTATAATGATTGTTCAAAGATAAGAAAGGAAACCTACCAGGTTTTGTTTCTGTACTCCAATATAACTCACTGATTTTCAGCAGCTCACCACTTACCCATCACTTTCAGTGCTCTACTGCATTTCATTACTTGGCCTTAGCTAATTTTTTAATAGACTTTATTTTTGAGCAGTTTTAGGTTTATAGAAAAATTGAGCTGAAGGCACAGAGAGTGACCGCATACTCCCTTGTGCCTTATTCCTCTCCAGTTTTCCCTTTTATTAACTCCTTGCATTAGGGTGGTGCATTTGCTAGTTGATGAGCCAATATTGCTATGTTATTATTAACCAAAGTCTATAGTTTACATTAGGGTCACTCTATGTGTTGTACATTGTGTGGGCCTTGAAATGTATAACGATGTGTGCCCACCATTCCAGTATCGCACAGAGAAGATTCACTGCCCTAAATCCCTGTCCTCTACCTCTCCATCCCTCCCTCCTGCCCTGAGCCCTGGCAACCACTGATCTTTTTATTGCCTCCATACTTTTCCTTTTCCAGAATGTCATATAGTTGGAATCATGCAATATACTGCCTTTTCAGACTGGCTTCTTTGACTTAGCAATATGCATTTAAGATTCCTCCATGTCTTTTTGTGGCTTGTTAGCTCATTTCTTTTTCTTGCTGAATAATATTCTCATTGTCTGGATGTGCTACAGTTTGTTTTTCTTTAATTTTTATAAAAGACTGTTAACACAAAATTAAAATTAAAAGCAGTAGTCATGCCGGGCACAGTGGCTCATGCCTGTAACCCTAGAACTCTGGGAGGCTGAGGTGGGTGGATCGCTCAAGGTCAGGAGTTTGAAACCAGCCTCAGCAAGAGTGAGACCCTATCTCTACCAAAAATAGAAAGAAATAAATTGGCCAACTAAAAATATATAGAAAAAATTAGCCGGGCATGGTAACACATGCCTGTAGTCCCAGCTACTTGGGAGGCTGAGGCAATAGGATCACTTAAGCCCAGGAGTTTGAGGTTGCTGTGAGCTAGGCTGACGCCATGGTACTCACTCTAGCCTGGGCGACAAAGTGAGACCCTGTCTAAAAAAAAAAAAAAAAAAGAAAAAGAATAAATACTCAGCTAAGTAATTAATTGCCTTTCTTATAAAGTTATTTAATGATTTCATTATAACTTATCCACTCTACATGCTTTTAGGAAGTAAATGGAATTTCACAACATTAAGTGTTCATTGTGTGGCTGGTACTAAGCAAGGTCTGGGTCCTTGAGAGTGGAAGAATAGAAAGTTTTTTTAATTTGTTGTTGAAGACTTTCTTTCCTTTTTCAATGGAGATATAATTTACATGCTATGAAATTTACCCTTTAACTTTTTTTGTTTTTTATTTTTGGAGGCTGAGTCTCCCTCTGTTGCCCAGGCTAGATAGAGTGCCATGGCATCAGCCTAGCTACAGCAACCTCAAACTTCTGGACTCAAGTGATCCTCCTGCCTCAGCCTCCTGAGAAGCTGGGACTACAGGCATGCGCCACCATGCCCGGCTAATTTTTTCTATATATTTTTAGTTGGCCAATTAATTCTTTCTATTTTTAGTAAAGACGGGGTCTCGCTCTTGCTCAGGCTGGTTTCGAACTCCTGATCTTGAGCAGTTCTCCCGCCTGGGCCTCACAGAGTGCTAGGATTACAAGCGTGAGCCACCACGCTCGGCCCTAAAGAATACAATTTATTGGTTTTTAATATACTCACAGGGTTGTGCAACCATCATCACTATTTCTTTCACTTAGCATCACCCTTTCAAGATTCATCCATTTTGTAGCATGCTGTTGATGACTTTCTTAGAGTGTTTTCCCTTCACTGGACTATTGATAAGAAATCCCCCTCCTCCAGCGACTCATGCCAGGAGCATCTGGAGCCACAGTGCTGGGCTCGGCACATTGTATCGTGTGCTGGTTTTTACCTTTGTCTTCCAGACCATGACCTGGTCGTTTGGATGGAACAGCTCTCTTCCTGTTTACTACATTCGAGAGAAAAACCAGAGAGTTCTTCTGTATGTTTGTGCTCACAGTGCGGTCATCTACAACGTTTCCAGGAATAATCAGTACCACCTTCAGGTATGCAGGGTTTTTCTTCTTGCAGGTAAAAGAGGTCATCTTTAGCTTGTGTGTAGCATTTTGTTTTGTACCTCCAGAGCTGACTCTGTTATATCACCGTACTGCTTTCCTCCCTCTCTTTGAGCCACAGCAAATCTGTCTTTATTTATTTATTTATTTATTTTATTTATTTATTTTTTTGAGACAGAGTCTCACTTTGTTGCCCAGGCTAGAGTGAGTGCCGTATGAAAGGAGGACTGGAGTGGCGTGAGGAGGGCAGGCATGTGGGACATTTGGGGGAGGCCTCAAAGAGGGTGAAAGTAAGCAGAGCTGCTGAAGGGAGGGAGGGAAAAGAGGACAATTTAGTACTTTCTTACTTACTTAACACCTACTGAATACTTTTGAGTTAGGAGACCTAGATATGTCATGTACTAGTGCAGTCTTGGACAAGTCACTTAAATCACTCAGGGCCTCAGTTTCTTCTTTTATAAAATGAGTATATTAACACCCACTTCTCAGCATGGTTATAAGGATCACAGCCCTTTGAGAACTGGAGGAGTCTGTGTGTCCATCAGGTCTGCGTCCCTGCTGAGCTGCTGCCCTTCTTTGTTGAATCACAGTTCTGTGGAGACATGAGCTATGCTGCCCACATGTTTGCAGAAATGTAAAAAGTACAAATGTTTAAAATGCTTGTAACTATAAAATTAAATCAGTTGTTGTTTGTAAGCTGGTTCTGATTAGAATCAGAGAAACAATGGGCCATAATATGTGCTTCTGAAGACAGATTTGGGCCGGGAGCGTTGGCTCACGCCTGTAACCCTAGCACTCTGGGAGGCTGAGGCAGGCGGATTGCTAGAGGTCAGGAGTTCAAAACCAGCCTGAGCAAGAGCAAGACCCCATCTCTACCGTAAATAGAAAGAAATTAATTGGCCACTAATATATATATAGAAAAATTAGCCAGGCATGTGGCGCACTGCCTGTAGTTCCAGCTACTCAGGGAGCTGAGGCAGCAGGATCGCTTGAGGCCAGGAGTTGAAGTTGCTGTGAGCTAGGCTGATGCCACGGCTATTTCTTAGTACATCGAGCTTTCTAGCTAGTGACCGATAAACAGTTCCATGTGTACCCTTCACTTGATCGCTGTGTTGTTATAGATCTTCCTCAGTCGACAGCTCATTGCAAAGCATCGCCGAAGTCATTTAGCCCAGAGCCCAGCAGTGACTCAGCATTGTGCCGGATCCGGGATACTGGGCACAACACTTACGGAATATCTACCTCTAAAACTCGAAATACAGATGACAAAATCAGCAAGCGCTCCATTCGGAGCTTCATTGATGTGTGGCAGTGAGGCATACACAGTGGTTTCGCGGAGGCAGGTGAGAAGAGATTCGTCCGGCGAGGCTCAGTCAAGAGGAGCAGGCACGTGCAGAGGGGCTCGAGAGGCACACAGAGTCCAGCCCAGCCAAGTCCAGTCATCCGCCAGGCGTCAGGGGTTGGCCAATGGCCTGGCATTCATTAGTCATTCCTTCCACAATATACTTCTCCTTCGCGCACTGTTCTCGCTCGGTCTGTAAGTCATCGACCAAAACAGATCTATTCTCCCTGCTCTCTCAGAGCTTGCAATTTACCGTGGAGATGACAGACATTTAAACAATACTACACACATACATTAAATGTGACTTACAAACCTGTAACCAGTGGCTCCAAATGAAATTGTGAACAGATGCTCCTGAGAGAAGTCCACGGAGGAGTATTTTCCTACAACGATGAGGAGCTAGACTTCATGTATAGAAAAAATTGCTGTTTCTGGTGAAACTTGAAAGATGAGAATGAGGCCGGAGTGCCGGTGGCTCACGCCTGTAATCACTACGCACGCTCTGGGAGGCGGAGCGGGAGGATATGCTCAGGTCAGCGAA